GACATTCTTCTTCTGTTCCTTTTTCCTAGTAGGCAATAATCTTAAAGACCAGGTTCTTCAGAAGCTGGTGTGATTGATTGCACTTATAAGTAGCAGTGTGTTTCTGACTCTGCTTTCTTTTTACTAAATGTCCTGCATATTCAATGAACTCTTTCTAGCCCACTTGGATAGGATTTGAACATACCCCATTACAATCTAAGCTCTGCAAACACTGAATTCATGGCACTCTGGGAGTTGTTTCTGCCTGTGCTCTTAGAATTTCACCTTACAAATAAACAGATTTATATGGAGACAAAGATAAGAAGGAACTCCTCTGAAGATTTCTGAAACTATTTACATATCTCCTTCTGCTTTGCAAAAGAAGTACCCCCGCCCTTGGAAATCCAGACTCAATGGAATTCCTATCTCTGCATAATATTAGGCTTGGGTTTCCCCATTTTCTGTGTCAAAGGTTGTGAATGCCTACAGATTGAAAGTCAAGGCAATCTTAAGGTTTCTCTCATTTGCTTCCTTTCTAACATCTCAGTTCAGGAATGCCTATTATCACACTGGCTGAAAAGTGCTGTTTCATGTATTTTTGTCAAGTTTTCTAGTTGTTTAAAGTAGGAGTGTGATAGCTACTGCTTCATGACCAGAAATAGGAGTCTAGCACATTGTGTTAGTAATGTACCCATAAATCGTCTTCATTTTAGCAAGAGTATTTTTTTCTACTACTTCAGATAAGAAATTGGGGCATAGAGATAGAATTTTACCAAGAAAAATGCAAACAATAATTTATTAAGAAAATGTGCAGATGCAGAGACTGTATCACAAGAATAATGAAGTCAGAAATATTATTCACAGCTTATTTATTCTGAAGCCTGGAGCTCAGTAAACAGCCTCAAGGCACCTGATTCCTCAAGAAAGGAAGAGCTCTAACTTTCACTCTTATCTCTACACACTATCAGACAAATACTTATGGGTAGACTGTCAAGAGACAGTCTTGTTACAAGTCTGTTCAAAGCCTTTGTTGATATTCCACTGATAGCAGAATGAATCCAAACCCTCACTTTTAACAATAATTTTAAATATGTTTTTAAAATATGTCTTCTGTATCCTTGTAAAGGGCTTATAATTCCTCTGAGTTAAATTTTGAAAATGCAGTATGGTAGGCAGGCCCTCTACCATTTGAGCCACTTTGTGTCTGAGGAAGAGGCTCATTTAGGTCAAGGGAACTTGGGAGGAAACCTCACTTTCTTGATCCTTGACCCAAGAGAACTTGGATGTCTGGTAGCTAGGCAAACACAACCCAGAGCCAGCAGCAGCCAACTAACTTTACCAAATACTCTGGAGAAATCAAGATGTTCTCTTGCTGTCTCTCATGTTCTTCTGGGTCAAGCCTAAAGACCAGAGTGGGTACCTTGTCTGGATCAGCCTACGCCCCAGAACCCAACCCAGATCTGGACACCTGGGCCCATTTTCTCAGAGGGAACCAAAAGTACAACAGGTCAGACCAGTGCAGGACCACCTCAGACAGGCCACCAGACTCCTTAGTGTGTGTTTGTTTGAGTAAGAAAATGAAGGAAAATGACTTCTGTGCTGATGTCACTTCACTGTATGATAATGAGTTATTTTGCAGTTTGTCCTTATTTCCACATTTGAACTTTCCCTTCTTGCTTCCATCTCAGAGTGGAACTGAGCCAGCTCCAACCCCAGCTGAGCATGAGTCCAAGAAACCACCCATGGTCCTAGCAAGTCTGGAGGTAGGAGCAGCTTGTATACCAGCTCTAGAGGAAGCCTGAGAACCCCAACAGGATTAGTTGACACCTGAACAGCTACAGTTTTCTCTCTCCAACAAGACGCAGACCACATTATCAGTGAATTGATCTCATGGGTAGCTCTGCACTCAGCAGGTAAGATAAGAGCAACCTCCATCTGGAACAGCAGAAGATGTGGGATGTACTCCAGAAGATGGTAATCACCAGCTGAGTATACCAATGGTAGCTGAACTAAAGGCATAACAAGTTTTAGCAGATCCTCCAGCCACTTTGGGAGTAGACTTTCTAGAAGACTTAGAGGTAGACTCAATTCTGGCTCCACCATTAGAATTATCTTCTGAGCCCAAACCAGTACTAGTTTCAACACCAGAGCTATCCTTCTTCTCCTCTGGAAAATATACATTTTTTCTTTTTCTCTTTCATTGTCTCAAATGTTTGTTATGGCATTTACAAAATTAGTTTTAATAAAATTTACTGTTTATTCATTAAAAAAATACAGTATGGTATCTGTTTTTCCAAGCCCACTGGTTCGTGCTTTGTCTTCAAGCTTTCCAGATTAAGGCCAATTTGGATTCAGGCTAGTTGTTTCTAGTCAATCCTGTTTCTGGGATCCAACCATTCCACCACTTACAATAATTAGCCGCTTAACCCCTTCATGTTTTCCTACTGAAATCCATCCTACCATTTCAGAACTAGTGAACGCTTTTCGAAAATGTTACCTTGAGCCCACGTATCACTAAAGGATCAACTCATTATTTTCTGTTTTTTTCTTCATAAACACATTCTTAAATTTAAAGACATTTTAAATTAAATAAAACATAATATATACTTTAAAAATCTACCTGTAATTAAATAGCCACATATTCCCTTTATCTTAATTCTCTTTAATTTAAAATCACTTTATAATGCAAGTTGAAAGTAAAACCTCTGAGGGTAGTGAGGAGAGCAAATCTCTTGTCTGCCTTGCAAACGTTAAGATGAAATCATCTCTAAGAATTAAATCATCAAAAAGTTACAAAAGCAGTCAAGCTGATACTGTGGGCAACCAGCTACTGTTTCATTTGCAATTACATGCACAATTTAGAAACCACTTTAAGAAAACTTAGCCTCCGGAGGATTACTAACACATCCTCTTCCATAAAACACAGTTCAAGGGGGAAAAAGATCACATGGAATGAGTTGATATGAAACAAGGATCTTAAATATAGGGTACTAATCTCCCAAACTGAGAAAAGTAGTCTGTTCCGTAAATGTGGAACATACTGATAAAGTAATTATTCCCCAGAGTGAGCTTCTTTTTGCATGGAATTTGCAATTAAAACTGAAATGCAGTCAGCCTTGGGGGCCATGAAATGCAATGTGCTTTACTACAGGTCAAACGAAGAATCTAAAACAACAAAACAAAACACCTTTTCATTGGTTTGTTTCTGATAACACAGCTGAGTTACTCCTATTGTGTTTATTATAACCAACACCTTGCAGCAAAAGCTTAGTAACAGGTTTCTTTGGCAAATGGGCAATGGAGTGAATGAAGCAGCTTACTTATTAGAAAGAGAATATAAGTTAAAATATAGAAATAGTTTTCAAAGTCTGAGAAGAGGTCACTATAGTCCATTGAACACTTCAGTCAAAGTGGATCTACTGAATTTCATATCAGGAAAATGCCTTCTCACCTGATCCAGAACATTTACTAAATTACAATAGACATTCAAAAACACACTTTTATTTCCACTGGAACAAATCCTGACTAAGGCCTAAAAAAAAAAAGAGGCACAGAAAGTCAGTTCTAGAAACAGAAGCAAATAGCATGCCAGAAACTCTTAAGTATAATCAAGAAAGCTTCATTTTCCAAAATAATAATTTTTTAAAAATACACATTAAAGTGACGCCATCTGGAACACCTTCTGTTTAGATCTTTCTAGAGTAAAAATGCTCTATGTGTGGAAAATATTATTGCAATATTTTTCTGTCTAAAAACATTCACACTATGAATATGGAGAAAATTACCAGGAAGACTAGAATATATATTTAAATAAGGACAATATACAGTGGATGATTATCAATTTATGAACTTTCCAGTTCAGGGAATTCTTTCTCCTTCTTGCCTTTATGAAGCATTAATATCTTTTAGCACTTTAATCAAAAGTAGGCAAGGACAGAGACACAATGTGAAATTAATTCATTAAACTTATTTATGATTTGCAATTCTTATTGAAGCTGGTATTAATAAAAATAAAGGTTAAAACACATAGCTGGTTGGTTTCTCTCTCTTTCAATTATTCACACTATCTCTATATGACATCAACATGAATAATTGGAAGTTGTTTTATTTCCAAAAGCCACAATTTTATCTGTCATTGACAAGTCTGCCACAACCTACTTTAGATTACAGTCATTATTTCCCAAGGGGCTAACAGATCAAAAGAGAGATGAAAAAAGAGGGCAATGGGATGAAATTTTCTTATTTGACATGGTATTAAAACAGCTCTTCAACAATCACAGCTATAATTAACTAGCTGCCTTTGAGTACAGGGAGAGAAGTACATATCCCCTATCTTGATAAATGATACTATATTCATAAGGTCACCCAGGCCAAAAGCTCAGGAGCCATCCTCATTGCCTGGTTAACACAGCAATTGAGAACCATCAGGCTGGACTTCTCAACATACCACTAACAGATGGAGAGAGCTGCCAACATGCAACATTATTCATCCATTCCTCTCTTCATGCCTTTACAACTGAGAGACCCTGTCTTTGGCTTCTTCACTCTTTTATACATTTAATCTCTCTCTGCTCATATCTCTTTTCCACCGTTAAACTTGCACAAGTCCAAACCATCATTAAACAAATTGTACACACATTTCCTTCATGGGTCAAATCTCTTAATCTCACTAACCTTATTACCTCCAAACATCCTTAACAAATTGTTCTCACCAACTATCTCAATTTTTAGTTCATTCCCAAACTTAGTCTGGTCAACATCTGCTTGATATCTTCTAGTCTCCCAGAAGTAACCATAGGGATGGGTGGCTCAAGTGATAAAGTGCCTGTCGAGCAAGTGTGAAGCCCTTAGTTCAAACTCAGTACTGCCAAAAACCAAAAAACTAAACTGAAAATACATACAGTTCATTCCTGTATTCTTTTCTATGAAGAAAGCTCATAAATACCAACAAGAAAACAACCAAAATACCCCACACTCCACAGAGTTGTTGAAAAAAATTAAAAAGCAAAAAAGGCACTTACCGCCCTTTTTCGACCAAGAGTAACACATCCAATTTTTCTCCATTTTGAACCACTGTGCTGATTGCTGGAGGAGTAAGAGAAAAGCATTTCTGGTTATACAAAACATCCATAAAGACACAATTATTAATACTACTTAGTCACAAGTTCTAGTGAGCCATCATAACCTGATTAAAAGCTACAATTATCATAAGAAATAAAAACTGTGTCTGAAGAGAAGGTGGGGGAACACATCTTACTTAGCTCTTGCAGTCTTCTTAAGTGCATCCTATCTTCCTGAGCTTCTTGCATTTGAAGGCAAAAACGCAAGCTAGATTTGTCCATTGCAAACCAGCCTTTCCTCCACTGGTCCAGGGTGTGGCAATCTTTGTAGAAGAGTTGACCAATCAAATCATAGTCTGCTTCTGTTAAGTTTTCAGCAACAAAGGGAACAAAATGCTGTTAAGACAAATACAGAAAAGGTATGAAGATGGTGAAAGTAGGAAATTCCTTCCCTGCCTACTCACAGAGGCAAGTTAGAAAATCATTTTAGTATTTCTATTTTAAAGATTCCTAAGTAGCCCAAAATTTAAAAACAATTACTTAAACTTGTATCAGTTTAAAACAGAACAGCTGAAATACACTTGTCAAATAACATCATAATTTTTTTCCTTGTATACATGGAGGTGAAATGGGATGACATTCTCTGCTGATTTGTGGCATTTTTCAAAATGTCAATCAACATTTTTCTCCATTTATATCTTTTACTGAATCTGTTCCTTCTCCTCTGTGTACACCATGAATGAGATATTTACACATAAAAAACATGCACAGAAGTGATTTTATATTACCAAAAACATGGACTTAGTTTGTAAGAATGATTTCTCTAGGTCCTACATTAATTTCTTATGTTTCAGAAACTAGGAAGTATGCTCTTAAACTCTTTTTAACTGAAATCTTTGAAAACCTAAAGAGGTACAGACCTTCTAAGAATCATACATTAAATTTTCACGAACTCCTGAAGCTTGACTACAAACTCCAAGAATCTTTTCTACATTTAGGGAATATAATATTTAAATACCTTGGCTATTGTCTCTGTCCATTTCCTTTGAGCTTCAGATGTTTCAGCTCCAAATAAAAACACACGTTCTGAAGGTAAGTAGATCTCAAAGATAAAGACAGGCCTACAGCATGCACAAATAAAAAGATACCACCAATTATGCTTGGCTCTTATGAAAGCAAATAACACAAAACTCAAGTTTTTATTTAAATTCCTTTTAAAAATCTGGATAATGCTGTGAAATCAACCTGTTTATTGACCTGATGGTACTTTATTCAAATGGACAGAATGGAACACACTGGATTAGACAAAAGGAATATTCTTGTGGTTAAGTTTTCTACTGCATGAATTTGTTGATGACCTGAACATTCATCAGCTGACTGGTGTGACAAAGATCTCATCTTCCCTATCACACCACTCCTTGATTTACTCTCACCAAATGTTCAGAACAAACTTTTTCCATGAAATTCTTAGTCCTCTTAGTTATTTCATAAAAAATCCTTCTATCACCTCATCTTATGCCAAAATTTCATGTTTTTTTCTATAGAAAATATTTGAGCAATATCCTAATCCTGAGTCCTTTTCTGAGTTCTTCACCCACAGCTCCAACTTTTCCTAGAGAATGCTAAATAGGCACCCCACTATTCCTGAAAAGTCTCAAAATACCTTACAGCAAACTCATCTTTATTCTCCCCTCTTTTTGCACCAAATCTAATTTACCTTCTTCATGTCCCAATTTAAATGAATCACCATCTACCAAATCAATAAGCTTAAAACCTTGAAGTATGATTTATTCTTCTTAACATCAACTGTTCTCTCAAATCAGTCATTTAATCCTGTCAGTTCAGCCAAGATTCTCTCAACCCCTACCTCCTTAGCTTGTTAATTTTCCCTTCCTCTACTTAAACTCTCAGCAGTCATGATCTCTCTTCCCCAGTGCTTTCTGATGACTTCTTCCAGCCCTCTTCCTAAAATACAAACTATGTAAACTCCTCAGTGCCTACCTTTACAATTCTGAGTTCAAATTCTACAACAAATTATTTAAGGCCATTCAAAATCTGGCTGCAACAATTATTTTGTAACCTAACCTTATTGCATATGTATACCTACTTATATCAATAGCATTTTAACAAGAATGTTTTACTTTGTAACGTTTATATGTCGAGGTACAGTAATATTCATTCTTTTAGGATGTATTTTATTTATTAAGCAATTTAATACACAGAATGCAGTTAACACTGCATGATACCACATTAAACTGATTACACTAGACTCTTAACATCCACATGTGTGTGGATAAAAATACAAGTGTTCAAGATGCATAGAGCTCTATACTGTACTGCTGATTCTTGATCCATTTTTCACACATGCTGCCCAACTTTTGTTAAAGACCATGTTGCCTTCCAACAAGTCTCAATTTTTCACTCTATTACTTAAATTAAGCACATTATATTTTACCTTGCTTTGTGGGTTCTATGTGGTTTGGGGAGGCAGATCTTCACAAAATTAAGATCACACAATGATTTAAACAAAACTGACAATAATAATGTGCAACAGACTCAGAGCTTCTCCCTACCTGGGCTGCATAATGCATATTCAGGAATTTAAATTTTTTGTTTTTAAAATTTCTTTTGATTTTAAAAAATTTTTTCGACTGTCAAAACCATGCACAATTGTGATCAAGGCGGGCTTACTTAGAATGCAAGCACTAGAAAAACAAATTAACTACTCATCAGTTTTCTTTACATCATATAACAATGTAGGTTGACTAAAATACAAGTCAAATCAAGTAGGATGTACTGGTCATTATGAAGTAATTGCAATATAATTCATGTATTTTCTGTAAATAGTATATCTTTATAAATCTCTTCTATCATGAAAATTATGTTCCTATAAAACTGTTTTTTTTAGATTTTAATATGTATACTTTTCATTAATCACATTAAAAAACATGATAAGAAATTTCATATCAAAGGTCTTACAGGGTGTCTTCATAAAAAGCTCTCATAAATTCATTTCAATTATCATAACAGTTAAATATACTTCATAAATAATGCTTAAATCACAACTTTTTCAAATCATCGAAATGCTGAAGTAGATCTTTAAGAAATTTAACTTTGAACACAATATTTAATATACTTGACATTGTTTATTTTACAATCAATTCTGTGAGCCAATCATCACCAATGTTCCCTTTACACATCTGTTTTTGCTATTACATTCATTAAAGAAACATGAAAAATGTGTAAGTCATAATAAAGTACTATAATGATCAATAATGGAATTTTATAAATTTATTTAAGTTTACATACAAACCTACTAGACTTTCATATTATCTATGTCTATCTATATTTTAATTCACTACTCTCTAGGGAACTCCCTAAAAATCTTTTAGGCAGTACAAGATGAACAAGCTTTAAGACATTATTATACTCTTTTACAGAAGCAACTAAAGAGTTAAAATGATAACAAAAAATTCTTATTACCTAGATCAGTAATTTTCTACAAATACCGCTCAACTCCTAGCTTTTTAATGGTAGACCTACCCAGTATTTAAATAGAAGTCTTCCTTGTGTATAGCCAGGCAGATAACTTCACTGATGTTAATGGTACCATTCGGTGTGGTAGATTTATCATTTTCATAGTAACTTAAGAAGCCTCCTTCCAAAACACACCACTTTTTACTTGTCTCTAAGACATTAAAACAAAACAAATAAATTGAGCTATAACAGAAGTCATGTCATGACTAGATTCAAATAAATGTACTAATTTCCAATTTCAGATAAAGAGTATAATATTGCTACCTCAGATATAAAGTGGCAAAACTTTCTGCTTACAAAAATTTACAATCCAACAGCAAGGAAAGTACCAGACAATCATGACCAGAGAAGAAGGCAGAGGCACAGAACTGTTGTAAGAGAACACTAAAGCCACAAAGACTGATGTCTGAACAGAGTATTAGAAAGTGAAAACCATACCTACTGATTGGGTAGATATGTAAAGGTAGATGTGGCCAAAACCTTAACGTGTTCTTTAGGGATTTTAAATTCACCTTGTAAAATAAACAACATATTATGGCACATAGGCCAAATCAGACCATCACTTGTTTACATAAATAAAGTTTATTGGAACACAGCCTCACTTATTTGTTTTGTTTATTTGTCTGTGGCTACTTTGCTACTATAAACCCAGACCTGAGCTGGGGCACAAACCATCTGGCACAGAAACCTAAAATTTTACTATCAGGCCCTTTTAAGGAAAATCTGCTAAGCCTTATTTAGTAGGTGACAGCAAGTCACTGAAATGGTTTTAGCAGTGGAATATAATCACGAGCTCAATTTTACACATTCTGTGGAGTGTGAAAAATAGATTTGAGAGGGTGTGACCAGAAGCAGGATGTTGCAGTACTGAGGATGGAACCCAAGTCCTCCCACACGCTAATCTCTGAGCCAAACCCCTAGCCCCAGGAACCTGTAGACAGAAGTTTAAGTGATGGATGAAGAGGGCCAAAGTAGGCCAATGACACTGATGATAAAGCTGGGAGACACAACAGGGAATGGGGTAGGAAAGTCCTGAAAAGAAAGAGAAACACAGATATATGTCCACATGTGTTTTAAGGAGACAAGATATTGATTGGATGCAGGAACCTATAAATGACTTTATCATTTTTAACTGTGATTTTTAAGGTGAAAAATAGTGCTCACTTTTATTTAAAAGAAAGTAAAATAGAAAAAGCTTGAGTATGTATGAATTTTCATTTAGAAACACTGAACAAGAGGTGTCTATTTGCAATAAAAATAGAAGTAATTATGAGACAGATCAGCCTATGAATTTACCTCTTGGGGGCAAGAAAAGGGTTTGAAAACTAGAAAAATTTTACAGAGTTCAGGTGGTAATTGAAAATATAAAGTGACCACATATAAAATTTTTGGGATTTTAAAATTTTAAGGAGTAATGGATACAGAGGGGTCCACAAAAGAAATGAGAAGAGAATGATTACCAACATTGCACAGAGCAAACATGGGATAAAACGGGCTGAGCAACCAGCTGCTGCTCTTTGCAATGGGGAGGTACTGCCTATTCACCAAGAGTGCTGTAAATGCAGGCTACAGCATATTGATGATTACATGAGAAGTACAAAGTAAAATCACTCAGGATAGATCAACAGCTTATGTTACAAAGGAAAAGATATCATAAGTTCAAATGAAGGCATGAGCCATGGTAAGGCAAATAATGAACAATTAAAAATTATTTACCTAACTGAACCAAAGGTGGACATTCATTTTTCAAAAACAGAAGGAAATACAGAAAAAAACTAAAAAGATACAATGACATCATGAGGGGAGAAGTAGCTACCATGGCACCAACCGAGCTAACCAAACTTCTCCTTCAAGAGTAGGCTTAGGCCTTGGCTCCACTGGGACTCTCCCACAACACTGTATTTATCTCCCCAGGCCTGTAAGCATCTGCGTATAGTATCCTTAGCACTACGTGGACCTGAACAAAGTAGACTGTAAGTCAAAGACCCTAGGTGGTAATAATGCTATTATTACTTGGGTACCACTGAAAACAAAAATTTACCATTCTGTACCTCAGCTTCATCATCCATGAAATGAGGATAAGAAAAGCATCCAACTCATAGAGTTGCTGTGCTGATTAAACAATTCAATACCCATAAAGCACCTAGGTAAGTGACCAATATGAGGCAGCTTAAAGACGCACCACCACTTGAGATGATATAACCATTTTAATTTAATATGATAATTTAAAATGTTATTCTTTAAAGTATAATTGCAGTTTTTGAACTATTTAACACTTTAGATAATACGAATTTATTCATCAATGCTTTAGGCTACCTAAGAACTGTGTTTTCTATTCTCAAGAATCACCATGTCACCTTAGAGAAGGTTTGCTGAAGTGATTATTTTCATAAATAAAGAACCAATATTATTACTTAAGGAAGCAGCTTGGAAGAGGCTGCAAACTCTGAGATGCAAAGGTAAGAAATGTATTGAAGGGAGGTGACAAATGGAATTACTTTTAGGCACAGGCAGTTGAATCCATATGTGCATCTCCATTCCTTCCCCAAACCCAAAACAATGACGTTGAAAGCATACAAAAAGAACCAGACAGACCATAGTTCATAAAATGACTAATTTTTCTGACAGATACAGTAGATACATTCAAACATGCAAAAGAAATCAAGAAGAACTAAGCTGTTTTACAAAGTTCCAGAAAGGTTTGGAGAGGCTCATGCCTCATGAGGTGCAGAATAAAGAAGAGCTAAAACAGAATGAATACATGGGCAATTAGGCCCATACATTTTTTTTCACTGTGCTAAGCACCCCCTGTTCATCCATGTGAACTTTGAGTCCTTAACTCCAGAGAAATTAGGTCAGATGCTAAACTGGGATTTAAGCACTTCCTGGAGGCAGAGTAAGATATAATTTAGGAAATATAGTGATGAAATGACATTCTGCATACTAAATAAACAGCTGAGGCCCTAATCATCTCCTCAAATTTATATACATATTGTTAGAGCCAGAAATGTCCAAGATTCCCAAACCAGCACTCAGCAAGAGATCAGAGGAGTCTTCTGACTACTGGTCCCTACCATTTAAAAGAAATACTCCAAAAGGGAATCTCTCCAAGAGCCTCCAGAAATAATATAAACCATGCTGGCTCCTGTATTTTCAACCCAATGAATCTGATTACGAACAACTGACTCCAGATCTCTAAGAATATATTCTGTTGTTTTAAGCCACCAAGTTTTTGGTGATTTGTTTCATCACTCACAGTGAACTAATATAGTAGGGAAAATGACTATCTTTCAAAAATGACTGTGAAAATTCATGATTTTCTACACAAAGTTCACAGCATAGTGATGACTACATAATCAATATGTTAATATTATTTCAAAACTTTAGAGAAAGCTTCCAAGATGGAAAAGTGCAACCCAGTACAAAAAAATTTCTTAAACTCTGATTAATATCAGACTAGTAAGAAAAGATACCATGCCTACACAAGAAGAACAGCATGCTGTAAAGAGAAAAATTGAGAACATACAGAAATTCTTGGTAATTAAAAACATAATAAAAAGAGACATCTTATAAGAGGAACTCTTTCTCCCAAATAAGATTAATTTAAAAGGTCCAACATCCACCCAGCATTTCTGCTAAGAAAAGATATGAAAAAGAATTTAAAAAATAACTTTTATCAAAACAAATGGATAATGTCAAAGCATGAAAAAGAGAATAAATCTGCAAGCACTACACTGGTAAAATAAAAATAGATATAAAATGTTGGGCTTAAGGATCACCAATTGCATATTACATCTGAATTTGGTAAAAAGAGAAAAGTTAAAATAAAAAGATCAAAAAGAACTTAAGAATTAGAATTTTAGCTCACTGACAATTCAGGTATCTCAAAGGTTTATAAGTAGAAGTAGTAAAAATGGATAAAGAAGGTGTCTGTCAAAACCACAAGTAGAAGAGAATTTCAAAAGAAGCAAGCAATTCTGAAGGACTTCTAGATTGATTCTAAAATCAGAACATAAATGTATACGAGGGTTGAGTCAATAGAATCAGAAATGGTTCAAGGTTAATGAACAAAAGTAACTGAAAAGGTGAACAAACATATGCAAAACTAAAGCCCACACAAAAAATTATGGAATTATTATTACTTTAAATGCATACACTGAGTCAAATTCTGTTATAAATGAACTAAACTGAACACAACTCTGAAAAGTATAGTAGATTATTCAGCTTACTAGAATATTACTAGATGATACCCTGAAAATAAACAACTTGGAAAAAAATGAGTGAATGAAATGGAGATTACTGGCTATAGAAGTGATATGATAGATAGGTTATTATCATAGGTTATTATCAACTGCTGTGATTTTAATTCAGAAAATAACAATGGCAGTCAGAAACTAGTTCCTAAAGATTGGTATATTCTATCTCACTCAATTCTAAAACCACTTTGGGTAGTTCCTAAAAAAGATGCAATACTTATATTCTTCACGAGAGGTTAACAAAACACCCTGAGCTGGGAAGAAGATGTGTCTTTCCAGCTCATTCAGGCTTCCCATTCAGGCTTCTTTCACTAAGTTTTCAAAATTTTGTGCAAATATAAACTGTGTAATTGCTATCAAGTCTCCTAGTGGGTTTTACATTGTTGTGCATTTGAAATTACCGATGTTCCACCCTGCATTTAGCTTATTTTCTCTGAACTACTGCCATCAAAAATATACATACAAAAGAGTTCAAAGGAATGAAGACCAAAAGGAGAGAATGATACTATATGTCAAATTTGACAATTTGTCATTACCAAAATGTTTAATCTTCATCAATCCTTTTTCATTTTCCATTTAAAAAACTAGAACAAGGAGTCTTGCTAACTGAGTAACAAGAAAACCAAGTCACTCCACATATTACATATTTTCAAGACACTGATATAGAAGTTAAATGCTAAAACATTTATGTCATATTCTATAATTTTATTTATCCCTTTATTTTTTGAGACAGTGTCATCCTAGGCATACCATGCTGGCCTTGAACTCACTACATAACCCAGGCTGGCCTCTAACTAACAGTCCTCCTGCCTTAGCCATTGAAGTGTGGGATTACAGGCATGTCCCACCATGCCTGTTCTTTTGATGTAGGCTTTAAGAGTAGAACTAAAAATCTGTAGTTTGCCAAATAAGGTAAAGCACTACATTTGACTTTTCAAATAAGTACGACTACAAAGGAAAACCTAAAATTTTCAGTTTCCCTGATAAAAAGAATTATTTTTGAATTGTCACATCAACAGTCTGTTTCAGGGATCCAGAAATTATATAACTCCTCAAGATGAAAGTTGCTGCCAAGAATAAAATTATACAAGCAACAATCAATTCTGGATTTAAAATATACATGAGAGCTATAGTCATTAAGACTAAGAAGATCTGTAAGTTAAATATAATGAACAAGGTATACTGATTAGGTAATATCCTGTTTGATCACTATCCTGTAGTTACTGTAGGGTATTATTTATGAATGCTCTTCTTTATAGGAAATGCACCCTGAGTACTAAGAGTAAAGATCATGTCAGCAAGTTTTAAGTGATTCTGAAATTAAGTGTGCATAGACAGATACACAGATACACACACATACAAATGCGTGAGTTGCATGTGTACACACATATATGCAAAATATAAGGTAAGACAAAAAGGTAAAATATTAATATTGGGGTTTTATGAATAAAAAGTGCATGGAAATTCTTTGCACTATGTTGTAACTTTCCGGAACTCTTTAAGTCAAAACAGTTAAAAATAAAAAGTTAAAATAAGTTGTCTTTTTAAGACAACTTAGGTGGGAGTGTTTATGAGAAGGAAAAGAAAACAAGACAAAGGTATCACTGGGAGAAACAATGACTAGGTAGAAACCCTGATAGTATAATATTGCTAAATAAAAAGCAGAATCATAACTAATAAAAGCAACTACCGCAGAGGAATCCTTTACAGGTACAGAAAAGAATGCTACAGAGGCACAATCTCTTCTTAGTGGAAGGTGATGTATTATTCTATGACTTTCAAATTCTGAGTCACAGTATAAACACCAAAGCAGTCTATGAAAAAAATCATAGAAAGAATTGAATTTTAAAATTAATAATTATTGCTTATTTCTAAAATATTTAAAAAGGAGACTCAATGCACTAATCAAAGAGGTTTATTAATTTCAAAACAAGACAGTCTAGTATCTAGAATAACCTTCATAAGAGAATAAAACAGATGAGTGAACAACAATCAACACACAGATAAGTACTGGCACAGTTTAGGACTTTTACCCATGTCTTCACTGATAGTCTGTAATCCCATTACAGGGGGTATGTGCTGGGAATGGTATCTGTCAGATGGTCCGTTCAGAGAGTTAGAGGCCTTCAAGAAGGAAGCCACCTTCAGATTAGGATGATAAGAAAAAAATCTCATTTCCCCCAAACAGTTTTTGCAACAACCCACTATGGCTGAGAAGGCGTATTTCAAAAGTAGAAAAAAAAATGCATTCTGAGCTATAGTCATTACAGAACTCTGAGAAAGAACAGGACGAGAAAGTCACAGGAAGGGGAACCCTCCGGAACCCTCTGTGGCTAGAAAATCAGACTATAAGACTATACATGAAGGCAGGAAATAGGAAAAAAGACTTAAGGTTCAAGGCAGAGACCAGGCCCCCAGAGTCTTCCAAGACAGGTGGAATTTGTGCCTCTCTCAGTAGACAAGTGGGAGCTGTTAAAGGCCTTAAACAAACAAACAGTGTCAAATGAATGATGATAAAATCAATGTCATGCAGAATCTAATTATGTAAATTCTAATGAGAAACAAATGACAGATCTTTTTGAAAAGGTGCAAACTCATTTTAAGTTAGAAATGTGGGTTTGAGGAGATTTAGTGATATAGCATTATCGTTTTTATAACCATTCATCAGCTTTTTCTCCACAAGTGAAATGGTCACTTGTCAGAGGTCAGATAGTAGGCACAGATACTACCTTTGAGGACTCAGAATAACAAGACTGTGATAGAAAATCTTGACATCCCTATTGATTTGGGTAGCAATGAAAAGCTTTCGCAAACCATGTTGGATGGTATTGGTCCACTTAGGCCAATCTAGATGTATACCCTTTATTTTCAGAAACGTCAATACCCCCAAAGGATGCCCTCTGCTGCAGAAGTCTTACTGTTACAATTGGCCACTAGAAAATGTTCTCCAAAATAAAATCAGGGCCAAGGAATGAGCAACTCTCAGGACTCAGTTGTTTAGTGGATGGAGCTTGTATGTGAGGTGTAAGTAAAATGGGTGGACTGGTCAGGGAGTTGTTCATTGTTATTCTATTATGATGTTTACATTAGAACAAGGAAGAAAAACACTAATGTAGGATTTGCCCAAACAAGTAAAGAAGTCCACAGGCAATCTTTAAATATGTCTTTAGAGCTGCTGTGCCTGCAGGTGAGCCCTCCATCACTCCTCCTCCTTTTTATCATCATCCCTTCATCATGTTTGTGTCATACACTGTTCCACACATTTTTTCAGTATTAATTCTTTGAATTCTCAGAACAACCCTATTAAGTCATTCCTTGTACCCTTTCCTTGTAGGCCATTTCCTTGTACCCTTTCTCTAAGCCCAGAAGCGGTCACATGTGCCTGACATCAGGGCTGTTGTCGAACCCAGCTACCCTCTTAAACACTGCATTGTCCCTCTGTTGGATCCATACATGTCTGTTTTAAGAATGTCTTAGGGTAGACAGGAAGTCATGCCTCCTACTTCATAAGTGTACAGTAAATCTGAGGTAGGTAAGGGAAAACCATTATTTTCTAAAATCATGTAGCTATTTCTTGATGAAGAATTTCCTAAACCAATGATATTCAGCATCTACTGAAAGTAGGAAAACATGCTGGGTGCAGTGGCTCACACCTGTAATCCTAGTTAGTAGAGAGGTAGAGATTGAGAAGATTGTATTTCAAGGTCAACCAGGTCAAAAATGTAAATAAATAAATTTTAAAAAGTTAGCAAGATCCCATCTAAATCCTGTAAGCTGGATATGGAAGTATACTCTTATAATCCCAACTAAAAGGGAGACACAGGTAAGAGGATCATGGTCCAGGCCAGCCTGGGAAAAAACATAAAACTCTATATGATAAATAATTAAAACAAACAGGGCTGGAGGTATAAACTCAAGGGGTAGAGTACCTGCCAAGCAAGTGTGAGGGCCTGAGCTCCAACCCTCCTATGAACCTCCAAAAAAAAAAAAAAAAGGCAGGAAGAAGAAGGAATCCTTTTCATTTAAATAAATATGTTTCAGCCTTGGAAAACACTTTTAAATTATACATGTCAGGTTTTTCACAGAACAAAATTTTTCAAAATTTGTCAATGTTAATCTTTGAAATTAAATACAAATGGAATGAAATAGAGTAAAGAGAGTTCCCAGTGAACCATATCAAGGTAAGACACCAAGGGAAAAATTGGGTTGAGGGGAAAAACCAGAAAACAAAACTATAATGCTATTATTCAGCTCTGTACTTAGGTTTAGAAAGAGCTATTGATCTCTCTTTTCATGAACACTAAACTGAGAAGAAAAAGGAAAGGAGATTAGTCTTCATAACCAGGAGCGAACAGAACTTCAAATTTGAAAACTTGAACTGACAATTGGCAGCATCTGTAACTGAAGCACCTGTGTTTTCCTCCCAGACTTCTGCCTTCCTCATTCATCCTTGTGATCTATGGCCATCCTGACAAGCACTGATGGAGCAGTGATGCCCAGGTACTTGCCTTTCAGAGCCCAAAGTGACAGTCATACACTAATCTCTATGTCTTTCCAAGTAATTCCTTTTTTCCATAAAGCTGGCATTCAACAGCAGTAACACCACAGCAGAATCTTGAGAGAGAAAAGAAACAAACCCAGAAGTGCATGTTTCTTGATAGTTTGAATTTTTCTTCTTCACTATTAAGAAAGCTCTTTCTGAATAAAAATATTCCTTATGTTATGTATTTTTATTCAATAGTCCCCCTTCTCCTTTTCCATTGCAGGATGCTCAGTGTCTGCCTGGGACTGCAGATGGCATCCAAATGTTTTTCCTATAAATACAAGCTGATGATAAAATTTAAGTTATAAATTAGAAACAGTAAGAAAGTAACAATAACTAACAACAAAACAGAATTATAATAAAAATTTCAAAGTTATGCATTGTTTATTTCTAGAATTTTTTCATTTACTATTTTTGGACCTAGGTTTTTTGGCTAGTAAATGAAACCAATGGGAATATGCTCAAAAACAAAATATTAACATGTGACTTGCATTTCTACACTGTTCATAACTTGATTAAAGAAAAAGTCATTCATTCAACAAATATTTCTCATGTAGCTGCTACATGTCAACACTGTTTATGCACCAAAGATTTTATAATTCTGAACAAGCAAGAAGATGCCAATGCCTTGGTGGGCTTTCACTCCAGAGGGAGGGAGAAATAAAGAGAGGAGAAGGGACCATCTGTATGGGGTAAGCACCATGATGGAAATACACAGCATCCTAGGGAAGAGGACTAATGGAGGAGGACCACAGAGAGGATGGCAGAGAGGCCTCACTGGCTTTTGGGAGTGAATTCATCTCTGAAAGATAAAAAAGGAATCACGTGGGTAGAAGTGACCTCTTTGCAGAGATACCAGCAACTACAAAGGTCCAGGAACAGAGAGGCAGCCGACGCTTCTGAGCACTGGATGTAGAGAAATGCCAGAAGATGAAGAGGAGGCACAGGAAGGTCTTCCAGGTCATGAGGAACAGGTGATAATCTGAAATGGGGTACTGTCCAAGGTTCCCGAGTGATGGAATTACAGGATCCAACATTCTGAAGAAAGGTTTGGAAGAAAGCTGGGGCTGATGTAGGAGGACAAAAAGGTGGGCACTGTAGCATAGGCAGGACCTGATGGAGACTAGGGCTAGGATGATGTCAGTAGAGGTTCTATTTTGAGTTTGAAACTTGCTGGGAAATTTGGAAGATGAAAAGAAGAAAATCAAAGAAAACCTTGTCAGGAGATTATTTTCAAATGAAATCATTTCTAATGTACTCTGTAGCTAAAATCTAATAACTCTCTTTGATATTACTTTTAGAAAAATGTTCCAAATGGGAAAAATTGCTAATTAAATGGGATTACAGTTAGCCCTCTATGTCCATGGATGCCAAACCCATGCACCCAGTCGACTACTGTCAGAAATATTTGAAACATCTGTACCTGTACTGAAGATGTACAGACTTTTTTCTCATCACTATTTCCTAAACAATACAGTATAACAAGTATTTATGTAGCAT